CTTTATTCTTCCCTTCCACTTCAATAATTATTTGGCTGTATTTAGAATCCTAAGTTAGACATTGTTTGCCCATAGTATTTTGATAGCATTGTTCCCTTGTTCTCTAGCTTTTACTATTGTTGCTGAGAAGTCCAAAAACACCTGGACTTTTATTTTTTATACATATAAACCCTCCCCCTGCCTGTACCCTCCTCCCCCGAGCTTACAGAATTCTCTTTGTCACCAGTTTTCTAAAGCTACCCATCATGTACTTGGGGAAAGTTTTTTTCTCCATGTGGAAACCTAGACCTTAATAGCTTTCAATTCAGGGAACTGAAAACAAAAAGTTATCCTTCTTCCATATCCGGTCAATCAGGCAATATCTTCCTACCGCGCCCTGCAAGGCAACGTGAAACAGTATGGGCGGAGGCCGTGAGACTCACAGCTTCCTTCACTAGTACTTGAAGTTGGCTACAGCATTGTAATGTAACTCATCTTTCCGTGCATGTGTTAACTTCTTCTGAGAAATGGTCAGGTGGCTGTGCTCCACACCTGTTACTGAGTGTAGCTGCTCACTCACATCCCCAAATGTTCCCTTCCCTTTCCCAACAGTGGACAATATCTTACCACAACCGAAGTGCGATCTTACCTGGAACTTAGGCAATAAAGAAATTTCTCTAGAGGACTTGAAAGACAGAGTGTGTGATCAGGGGGAGTTTCTAAACATGTATCTCAAAGCAAGCATTCAATCTGTTTGTCTATGTTCAGCACTTCAGAGGTCAAAATGAGGTGGCTTTGGGACACTTGCAGCAAGCAGGGCAGTTTACCCTGCCTGGGGCCAAGGGGAAGTCCTAAGTCTAGTCATCTGGTGAACCATTCCTGGGTCTACTATCAAGTGGGCAGACTTCCAGAAGCCCAAGCTGACATCCGCAAAGTGGGAGATCCCTGGAAGAAATCAGCAAGCTCTTACAGGAGTGACTGTCCTGAGATGGCCTGTGAAGAAAAGTAGGTACTTTTATCACTTCTTAAAAACTGATTTGAGAGAGAGAGAGAGAGAGATTTGTTGTTCTACTCATGTATGCATTTATTGGCTGCTTCTTGTGTGTGCCCTGACCTGAATCAAATCCACAACCTTGGGTATCAGGGATGATGCTCTTATTGAGGTACCCAGTCAAGGCCAAGATATGATGAATGAGTTAAGGAGTATTTTCAGAAGTCTCTGGAAGGAAACCCACCAACCCAGAGTTCTCCCTAGGATTGGCCATCACATTCTACTGCCTGGACGCCAACACACAAACTGAGACCACCATTCGCCTTTTGAGGCAGGCCACCCTGCGGAATCCTGACGAGTCCTGACAATCAGTATGTTGATGTGAATGCTCGCCTAGCTGACTCTTCAGGAGATCAGGAAGGAAGTGGACGGGGACAAGTTGGTAGAAGAGGACTTGGAGAAAACACGGCGCCCAACAGATGTGCTCTGCAGAGCAGCCAAATATTGCTGAAATAAAGGCACTCTGGACACAGCTACAAAGTAACTTTAAAAGGCTTTAGATCAGTGCCGAACAATGTCTACCAACATCTCCAGATTGGGTGCTGCTGCAAGGCAAAAATCAGACAAGTACGGAGGTCAAGAAAGTGTCCGACTAACGGGGATGAAGAACTACAGGAAATGATGAAAAACACCATGGATCTTTTCAGAAGGTGGTTGAGATCAATGTTAAGTACCCCGGTGCCTGCTCGAACCTTGCCTGCTTCTGTACCCCAACAGGTCAGGATGATGAGGCGGAGCCTCACTTCCAGAAAGAACTCAGTGAGGGTCTCACTACAGGGGGCAGGACGGCGTGCTTCCTCTGCGGGAGGGCCCCTTTCAGCAGTACCAGAGGCTGTGCAAGGACACTGCCGTCCACCTTTACCTGGCAGCCTTGACCATCCACGGGGCCTTGACTGAGAAGGAAAAACTGATCGTTAACCTAAGAAGAATCGCCAATAAACGATAATCTGAAAACACCTCAGACGCTGTGGGTTGGCAACCCTCCAGATTCACCCCTGAACGAAATAGAAAAGGGCAGCCTACAGCGGAGGGCCCTGAGAGGTCTGGGCTGCTGCCGGACAGCCCAGTCACAGCCTTTGGCAGATTTGTCCCCTCTGCCTCTCTGGCTGAGAAGGGCAGCACGGAAGTGGCGGAGGGTGCAGGTGGGGCCCGGCACCCAAGAGAGCAGAAGGTCCCGGAAAGCACCTGTAGCCACGACTCTGGGTTTCAGAGAGAGCGGACGGACGGAGAGCCAGAAGCGGGGGATGGGTAGGAAGCCTCGTTTGGTGGTCACCGAGGGGAGGGTAAGAGGGAGACTAAGACGCCCCAACTTGAAATCCGGAAAGAGCTTTTTCCAGGTTTCAAAATTTTTCTCATCCAGATCTGATAATCACTTTTCCTCTGTCATATAGATATTTTAAGCAAAAGATCAGCGAAAGCTCCTTTGAGGGAAAGCGCTGACGTCGGGGCTTCGTAACTGTGGTTTCTCGGTTTGGGTCACCCAGATCCCTCACCTGTCCGCCAGCGCCTTCCATGTGGCCTGGCCCCCTGAGCACTGGCTGGGGGAGTGGCTGACCAGCACGCCACCGACTCCTGGCCCTCTTTCCTCAATGCTGAGACTCCAGGAAAGAGTCCAGGCAAACCAGAGTTTTAAATGTTTAAAAAATACAAATCATAAAATTAATACGGTAATTCTTGAGATAATTTTTTTTAATCATGGGATCTGGAATGTGTATATATGAAACAAGACACAAAAGGTGTGAGATATTAAGTTCAGCTACATTAAAACATATAGTGCATAGAAGAGATACATTTAGAATGTCCAAAGATAAATGACAAACTTGAAAATACTGTTTCAACACATTACTAGGTAAAGATTCATTTCCTTAATGCTGAAATAGTTCCTGTTAATCAATAACAATAAAAATGAACTCCATTGAGGAATGGGCAAATGTTAGGAACAGAGAGAAATGAAAGTGGCTTTTAAACATATGAAATGATGGTTGATGTCACTCCTATTAAGAACAAATAAAGCAAACCAACACTACAAGGAAAACCGTCTCAGTTTCACAAAGTGTTTCACAAAGGAAACACTTTTTGAAAGAGTGTATAGTCATCTTTGTCTCAGGGATTCCACTGTTATTAATTTATTCTGTATTGGCATATGCCTGCAAAGGCATGCACACAGGTATTCATGGTGCTTTGTTTATAATAGCAAAGGACTGAAACAAGTGTCCCTCATTAGGAGACTCAGGAATTTAACTCTAATATTTCATATATGGAATAGCATGTAGCTATGTAAAAAAAATTTTTTTAAAAGTCCGTTCTAAATATAAAAATATAGAACACTATCTATGAGATATATTTAAAAATTTAAAAATGAAAGCTCAGGCCCTAACCAGTGTGGCTCAGTTGGTTGGGCATCATTCCCACAAAATGAAAGGTCATAGGTTCAATTCCTGGTCAGGGTACATGCCTGGGTTTCGGGTTCAGTCCCCAGTTGGGAAGCTTACAAAAGACAACTGATCTATGTTTCTCTCTCACATCGATGTTTCTCTCTTTCTCCCTTCCTTTCCCTCTAAAATGAATAAAATTTTAAAAAATAAATAATAAGTAAAAGTTCAGAAGAGTATGTACAGCATGTTAATATTGTTCAAAGGAAGGACAGAAAGGCAGGAGGGAGAAAGAAAAAAGAAAACACTTATCACAAGTATACATAGAATAGTTGGGAAAGGTGCTATTCCCCCTGGAGTAGCTTCTAGACAGGGAACTGTACATAACTGACTAGTCGCCATGCCTGGGTCTTTCCCCATGCCTAATCTCTTCTACCACTACTACTTCCTCATTCCCCCCAAAATATTTACAAAATGCCCCTTAACTCTTTTCACCAATCCATAATCGTATCCATCAAAACTGATTTTTGAAAATGTTACTACGTCCTGAAGTTTGCTTTAAGGTCCTCCATCTGTTAGGGAATATACTGGCTATGCAACAAACTTTTCTTGGGCTCCCAATAGATGTTAATTAATTAATATGAAAAATAGGAGCATACCAAGATGAAAAGCGCACATCTTTTAATAGTTCACTCTGCAACATTATGCTTCTGTTGACAACACAGACACCCTTCAGTTGTCCCATTTCCCAATTATAGCTTCCTCCATTCTCTGTGCTTTTTAGTTTTAGAGGGCTTTCCTCTCTGTCCTTAGACATGGGAAAGTTGAATCGTGCAATCAGACTGGAAATTCAGAAAGGCAGGGACCAGGGTTTTCATTTCATAATGATACGTAGCCTTTCCTGATGTTGAAGGAAGGACCGAGCTGCTTGACTTGGCCTGAGTTTGGGCATCTCTGCCTGCAGCCCTTTAGCAAGGACACAAAAGGAGTCTGGTTGGGAATCAGGAAGTATTCCAGCAGCTTCACTTCCAGAGACCTGGTGAGGCAGCTGATGAGAGATGAGGAAATGTTCCTACCACTAATTTAAAAAAAGGAAGTCAGGACATAGTATACATGCAGAGGACACTTAACCTACACATTTCCTCAGACTACCTTTGCTGTCCCTGTTACCTTTATGTTGCCTTGTACCTCTCTCTTTTACCTACCGATGCCTCTATGATAATTTACTTTTAACACTCTTTTCATTCTCAGAGTGTAACATTGACACACATTTGAGGCATTCCTTTGAGGCCATTAATGTTTTGAATAAATGCTCTCCTAAGGAATACTATCAACCTAAGTTCTATATGAATTCAGTCTTGGAGAAAGCATTGTTTATTGTGGGTTGTCACTCAAGAGTTAAAAGTTCTAATTCTGTTTACAAGTTCTATTATTTTTTATAGAAGTGCTTGCTAAATACTCAAGGAATGCTGAGTTCCCCCTCAGGGCAGGGGAGGAGGAGGGTGGGTGGGCAGGCTCTTACTCAAGATTCATTTCTTCCTAGAGCCCCGCCTGTTTCACTTTCCAGTTTCTGTTCCCTAAAACCAGCTGCTGAAAAACAAAGGAATCAAAGGTTGCTTCCATGTATAAACAGGTTTCCTCAGCATTTATTTGAGGCAGAGGAGGAAGATTCGAGGAGCAGAGCAGCCTGAACTGCAGCCTTACAGACCAGCAGAAAAGTGCACAGCAATCATGAGGTAACTATTTTCGGATCAGGGTGAAAACGCTAATCGGTCTTGTTGTGGAATGTAAAACAGCTGTGCTCCTAAAAGCTTTGCTTTGCTTTGGTGATTGTGTATAGCCTTTACCATGCACCTAGCACCTATCTCGTAGGTTGCTGGTTTGTTTACTCCTAAGTCATTTTCTGCCTCACAACATCAAGCATCCCAGGCGTGACTCTCACTGGGGAAGCTGAGAGCCGAGTTTAGAGTGGAGGGGGGCAGGAAGAGGACAGAGAAAGATTTCATCAGGCAGGTTCTTCACTTAATGGTGGATCTGAGGGAATTGTCCCTGCAGGCTCTTTCTTTGTTTCATATTTGAAAAAACTAAGTGAGAGGCTTTAATAAGGTTCTTACTTAACAAATTAAGAGCAGCGTTAGCGTTTAGCAGTGTTTAGAGCACCTGAGCAGCGCTTCAAATGCACTCGGGGTAGTAACTCACTTCATGAGAAGGTAGAATTTACTTTTAATGTGCTTATAACTCATCTCAGATTTGCATTAGGGCTGACAAAATGTATTCATTCATTCAATAGGAATAGAGCTTACTCCAGAAATCTACTAATTGGCTGGAGTCCTCCTACCTGAAGTATGGATTGGGGAGGATGCTCTTACACTCCAGAAACAGCAGTCTGCCCAGGGGAGGGAGGGTTAGCCCACTGCGTAGGAAGGATGCTGTCTTTTTACTGCAGTGTGAGGACGGGTGACTAGACTGGATGCTTAAGCCTCAGTCCTGGGAGCTCCAGAATCCAGGGACACCGCCCTCAGAATTTAACTCCCTGGAGAACACATTTTCCTCCTTCTGTAAGTTTCCCGGTTTCTCTTCTGGGAAGATGCTGTTTTCTGCTAGTCTCCATGTCTGCCTGATAGGAAGAGAAAAAAAAATTGAGACATTTCCAGATGTCTGTTTCTGTAGTAACTCAGAATCTTTAGAAGCCTTGCTCCTACTCCTTAGAATTTCAGCATGGTCTTCTCAATAAAAGCATAGACTCTTTTTCATGATAATTCAGACACCATCGGTCTCTCTTCTAATTTTCTTTGATTGTTTAGCTATTAGACACTGTCACCAGGCATGTAGAGTTTAGCTTGTTAAAAGATAGATTCCTGAGCTCACCCCCAAACCCCTACCCCAGAGTCTGATTTGATAGCTCTGGGATGGAGGGCCAGGGTGTGCATTTCTCACAGGATCTTCGTCAGTGGTGCTGGTACTGCTCTCAGACACTGTGGCAGCAGCTTTAGCTCTGAACTTGGTGAATAGTGTCATTGTAGCTTCCATCTAGGCTAGAGCCGGGCAAAAAAAAATGGTTGATGTGTAAACAGGACTTCTACAGGCATCAGGAGCCTAAGTCACAACTCTGAGTTCAGGAAGCAAGTATCTGGGAACAGCTTCTGATTTACCACTGGAAATAATAATCCATCATTATGCAGTGAAATTGGGTGCCCTTTGAAGCTGCTCAAAGGGATTTAAGTGTACATACTAAATGTCTCTCTTGCAAATGCACAATTGACTATATGCTTTGTATGTTTGAGATAATTTCAACTGTATTCTCTGTTTCTTTTATAAAATGAGAGAGGAACTTAAAAGCCAAGTGCTTAAAAAACTCTTTCTGCAACCGTACTGAGAAGGTTGTTAGATGAGATTAGACATAATCTTTTCAAAGGGAGACTGCTGTTATTACAATTCAGACACCAAGCAAGTCTCTCTCCTGGGCTGTGCCCCGCCCGCCACTACACATGCATGTTACGCAAGAGAGTCAGACAACCTGGCTCTTCACTAAGACCTGCCTGGGACTTTAAAATGTCCCAGTTGCCTTCCCTAAGCAGAAATTCCTACCAACTTTCTTTCCTATTTTTTGGTTCTTCTACTTGGGGTAGTTAAGTCTCCATGGCTTTAAGCAGGAAGTGAGTAGGAAGTAGTCACTGATTCTAAGTTCATGGAATGGTTCACAGGACACACCCTCCCCCCCCCACCCCCCACCCCCACACAGGCCTAGAGCAGCCCCAGGAGGATTAGAAAAGGACATTGGGAAGCTTGGGGAACCCAGACTGTGTTCTCCATGTCATCTGAGTCACTCTCTGCAGTGCATAGTACAGCCCAGGGTCACCTCCACGCCCCTGTGCACACAGCACCTTTCTTAACAAGCGAGAGCAGCCTCTGGCTCCCTCACTCCCTCTCAGACCTGTTTCCAGCTTCCACTTGAGTCTGGGTACCCAGCCATGGCCCAATCAAATTGCGGGGTGGAAAGGGAGGTATAAAACACAAAAGATAAAGACAAGAAGAAAATGGGGGGATAATAATCTTTCATTTGACAAATATTTCAAAAGTGACCCTGCCACATTATATGACCTCCCAGATTAGCTATTGATTGTCTCAGAATCCAGAATATTTAGAATATCAGCTCCTGATGAAAGGGCTAACTAATATATACCATTAAAAAAGTTTTAAGTGAGAAGAAGCATTTCAGAGACTGCAGTGCATAGGCAATGTAGAACAGTTTGGGGCTATTAATGAGTTTTAACCTACTCATCTCTGAAATTATTCAAGCAAGGTTTTTATTTGTCTGTTTGCTGTTTCTCTTTGGTTGGTTTTGTTTGCTCGTTTTGAGGACCGGCACTAAAGGGAATAGGAAGTCTTTCCAAAGGAGTTCACCCGTAGTGAAAAAGAGCATTTTCCATGCAAAACAAAGGTAACTGTCTTGTGAGCCTCCTTCTGTAGCCACACTTCTAACCTTTAGTTATGAGAGCAAACCACAGGGAAAGAAAAATAAATTTTAAAAAAATATTAAGCAACAAAAACAAAATTATTAATAAATCAACTCAGTGAGACATGTGAACAGAAATCAACAAAGTTGGGGAATATAAATATAAATAAAATAAATATAAATATAAATAAAATAATATATAAATTATATGTAATTTATATATAAATAAATATATTTATATTTAATATAAATAAATATAAATAAAAGGGATTATATTCTAAAATAAAAGTGTAAGACATTGCTAATATGTATAATATTAATCAAGTTAGGAGGTAGGATAATACAAATATAGGAAAAATGAGTAGAAATTAAGATTGATTGACATTAAGATTTTAAATGGTCAAAATAGAATAGTTCAAAAAATAAGATTATAGAGTGTCAAAATAATAAAAAGACAAGACAAAACCAATTTGATAGAAAACGTTTGGCTAAACAAAGGAAATCATTTAAGGATATATGAAAAGCTCAAATAATTAGACAGGAAATAGAAATTAATAGGGATTTTTTTAAAAAGACAAATTAAGGGGAACTAAGGAATTAAAAATGTAGATGAGAAAATGGTGTTGAATATCAGAGGGCTAGCAGAGATTAAAATCAGGATGGCAAAACACTAGAAGAAGAGAAAATCATAAAGCTAAAATTTCCAAATTGAAAAGCAAATGCTAGGTAGGTAGGCAGAAGAAAAAACAGAAACAAAACGCCATTGGATAGCCTCCACTGAAATCGGTCCCATGGGCTCAGTGGCCTCTGCAGAGTTCAGCATGACTGAACAAAAGCCATCTTATTTCTGGAGACCTGCCCACTGCCCTCGCCCTAATTCTTCTGCTGCCCAGTCACCTGATTCCTGCTGCCCCGCGCTGTAACACATACGCCAAAATATCAAAAGAAAAAAAAGGAAATGTTTCTGATTGGGGTTCACACCAGTTTGGAGAAGGAGAATTGTGTCTGCCATGCCCCCTGTTTTTCACCAGGTGAGTGTGTGCTGCATCTCAAAATGTCCATCTTTCTGCTTTTCCCTACAGTGAGACCGCAGAGAACTTGGAGAGCAGACTACGGCTCCTCAAATGCCATTTCACCTGGAACTTGTTAGGGGGAGAAAATTCCTTGGATGATTTTGAAGGAAGAGTGTGTAACCAGACTGAGTTTCAGAACTGTGAGTTCAAAGCTACACAGTGCAACTTGTTGGCCTACATAAAACATCACAGAGGTCAGAACGAGGAGGCGCTGAAATGTTTGCAGCAAGCTGAAGAGTTAATCCAGCGAGAGCACGCTGACCAAGCAGAAATCCGAAGTCTGGTCACCTGGGGAAACTACGCCTGGGTCTACTATCACATGGGCAGGCTCTCAGAAGCTCAGGCTTATCTAGACAAGGTCAGACAGGTGTGCGAGAAGCATTCCAGCCCCTACAGAATGGAGCATCCTGAGATGGATTGTGAGGAAGGATGGTCACAGTTAAAGTGTGGAAGAAAGCACGCCCAGAGGGCAAAGGTGTGTTTTGAGAAGTGCCTGGAAAAGGACCCGAAGAACCCAGAATTCGCCTCTGGACTGGCAATCTCGAGCTACCGTCTGGCTCACTTGCCAGTGCCTCAGAATCCCATTTATGCGCTGAGGCAAGCCATTCATCTCAGTCCTGCCAACCAGTATCTTAAAGTCCTCCTGGCTCTGAAACTTCAAAAGATGAATGAGGAAAATGAAGCAGAGAGTTTAGTTAAAGAAGCTGTGGAGAAAGCCCCGTGTGCAACAGATGTGCTTCATGGTGCAGCAATGCTGTATCAAAGAAAGAATGACCCGGACAAAGCTATAGAACTGTTTAAAAAGGCTCTAGAATGCTCACCAAACAATGCCTACCTGCATTACGATATTGGGATGTGCTATAGGGCAAAAGTCCACGAGTACCAGAAGAATGATCAGAATGGAATGTATGGGGAAAGAGAGGAGTTGCAGGAACTAATAGAGCACGCAGTGGATCACTTGAAGAGAGCTGATGAGCTCCATGGAAATCTCTCCAGTGTCTGCTCCCTTCTTGCCTGCCTCTACGCACAGGCCGGTCAGTACCAAGAAGCAGAGTATTACTTCCAAAAAGAATTCAGTAAAGAGCTCACGCCTGCAGACAAGCAACTGCTCCATCTACGATACGGCAACTTTCAGTGGTTTCAAATGAAGTGCGAGAGCAAGGCCATCTACCATTTCATAGAGGGTGTGAAGATAAACCAGGACCCAAACGTGACAGAAAAGATGAAATACAAACTGCACTCTATGGCCAACACCAGGCTTTCAAAATACAGATCAGATCCTGTGGCTTTGCATCTCTTGGAATTTCTTGAGGCGCTGTGAATGGGAAAAGGTAGTCGGCAGATAACACCTCTCAGAGAGGTTTGGACTCTGGGCACATTGTCCCTTCAGCATCTTTAAGGGAGGAATGAAGAATTGGGATGTGGTGCCCATAGAACTGCTCCTGGAAGGGACCTGAAACCCCTCCTTCCAGTTAGTATCAAAATATTAATAAACAACCGCTGGGGTATAGGCATGGACTAACACACTGGCTGCAGTACTGGACTGGGGTTGGGCCAAGTGTTAACAGTTGAATTGCTCAGGGAGTTCCAGGAGAGGGAGTAGATGGGGGGAGAGTTGGGCAGGCCTGTGGCTTGGGACAGGGACTATTTCCCAACTTAACTCTGGGGAGCAGTTTGTGCTCTGGGACATTCTTTTAGTCAACTTTTGAGGGAGTTTGCCTTGGGTTTCTTTCGGTAAAGTGGCCAGATTCCTCACATCTGGAACACTGGCCTGTTTTGGCAATGCTTTTCCACCGCTGGAGTTATCTGAGATTCTGTACAGGACTGGGCTACATCCATCCAAAGGCTGGGGGACCGAAGTTCAGATAAGGCTGGGTGTCCTCTCTCTCCTCTGCCTTTTTTCTCCTCTGCCCCAGATAACCCTCAATTCAGACTGCGCTACACAGCAGCAGTTCAATCGTCCTATTACTGAGATAGGAACACAGTTTGAAAAACGGAGCAGAGAATAAGTTAAATCCAGGAGGGACATATCTCGGAGAAGCGATGGGGTCAATCGATCACAGGCAGAGTTTCGAGAGGCACCTGGGGAGGTTTTGCCTCCACTCTGCACTGCTGGTGATCATAATACAACAGGTGAAGAATTAAAAAAAAGGGGAAGGGGATTCTGTATAATATGTTAGAAAACAAAATAATACATTTCTCTAAAACTTGTATGGAAAAATGTCTCACCAGCAGGGATAGGAACAGGGTAGGCGAAAGAGAGAGGAATGCTGGTTTGTCATTGTCGATTGTAATCATATGGAGAAATTTTCATTTCCTGAGCCACTATCAGAAAAAATTCCCCTGTAGGATGAAGACTTGCTTTGTTTAAAAAAAATAATAATAATAATTTGATGAGCCCAGCTTCAAGATGATAGGAAAGCAACTAAACAGGGAAACATTTGGTGGCTAAGGACTTAGTGAAAGGTCTTGGGAAATGACATCAATAATGGAGGGTCTTCCCACCATTAGAAATGTGTATTTGGTGATATAAAACTTTTTTAACCTTGAAAAATTTTATGAAAACCCCCAAATTAATGGTATGTTTGGAGCGATTGGGATTTTCTAGGTAGATTTGAATAGCCTGGGACTACATCAAAGTTGGTGTGACTTGAAATATAGCTGACCCTGCACGAGACCATCATTCACCTTCTGGTTGCAAAATGCTTGTCTGTTGGAATTAGTTTAAATATAAATGCCGATTATCTGAGACTGGGGCAGGAGGGAATAGAAGAGATGTTAAGGGTACAAATTTGCAACTAGCAGATAAAGAAGTCCTGGAGATCTAATGCACAGCACAGTGAATATAGGCACTAAATCTTAATTACTCGCCACAAAAGAGAAATGATAATTATATGGCATGAAAGAAGTGATAATTGCCAAACAATGGCACTCATTACAATATATAAGTGTGTCATATCAACATGCTGTATGTGTCAAATGTTTCAATAAACTTAAGTATACACTCACATTTTTATTAAGCAATTAAGACATAGAAAATGCAAGATTTTTTTAAATTAAAAATTCCAACTACTCTAACAATGGTTTTCGTGTTATTTGCTGTATCAAAAATAATGGCCTGTGCTCTGAGACCATCATAGTGCGCAGTATGGCCTCCTGAAAAAAAAACCCATAGATTTAATTAATAACTAATTTAGATGTGATGTTTTTCCTGAAATTTCAATGTACCTCAACTCTTCCAGACTCCACTGCAGATAAATAAAATGTTACCCAGGTGTGAACTGGTTCCAATAACCCAGGCTAGGTTAACATCACAGCCACAGTATAGAACAAACTTTTTTTTTTCCTACAGCTTTCAGAAGAGTCCAGAACTTCAGCTTAAACCCACTCACCACTGTGCACCCTCATGCTCACATACAACATGCCCCTGTGCTGACAGAGGGTGGGCTGTGCCCTTCTCTCTGTTAAATCTTGTCAACATCTGCTTCCATCCACATTCTCTCTTTTCTTCTGACCTCCATTGTGAGAAAGGAGGAGGTGCCCCCGATTCTATTTTATGCCTCATCCTGGAGGCAGTCAAAAGGCACAACAAGTTAAGAATAGCATTTTTCCTGGTAAGTAAAGAATAGAAAGAGACATGAAGCCCTGAAGTCGCTCTTGTTTTTCAAGAGGCCTCTGTTAGCAAACATGATTCATGCCAGCTGCAAAGGAAAACTCATTCCTTTGGACTGGAGTGGACAAGTGTACATCTCAGGGGGAGGGTTTAGCTCACTTAGCCTGAGTAACTTAGTAGATCTGGAGCCTGGGGAGGGAAACTAGGCACGTCCTGAGTGGAAGGTAAGACAGGCGGGTCCGCTGACCTTGGGCAAAGACCACTGGCACCTGTTGTGTGATAAGAAGGTACACCGGGTGTCTGTGACCTTGCTCATGGGTGTCATGCCACCAGGAACCAGACACTTAAAAGGAAGAAGGTGGAAAGAGTAGGGAAGAGACAGACAACCTGTTACACTTAATATTTCTACGAGGACTTAAAGCTAACCGAGGTGATTGGAAAACAATAAAGAAAATGAGGTGTAGAGCCATGTTTCCTAAAATGTCAATATCCAGGGAACAAATGGAGCCATATTAATTGGAATGACTTGTGATTCCCTGGCCCTTGATCACATCTCCCAGTGCAAGATATATGATGACTCCTCTGATACGCTCACCCTGGTACATAACATGCCCCCCAGTAGGTGTCTCCTAACTAGTCTGTCAGATTTATCCGATCACTTCAGCTGTTTGCATGGTTCCAGCACCCACAGCCATCAATGTCCTCTGCTCACAGAAGGGCTTCAATACATCTCATCATTCTCTGTATTTGATTGCCACGTTGGCAGCACGATATCCCTGACAAAGATGTTCTTAAGTGTAACGACACCCATGAAAGAGTGAGGAGAACCTGTCTCATCCTTGTCTGGGTGCCAAGTGATACTAATCGTTTCTCAACCTCAGAGACCTCAGCAAAAGATTCATCAGCCTCTGCTTGTAGCCACTTTCCCCCTAGAGCTCAGACATAGCCCCTGGAGGCAGCAGGCCTGAGTCGTGTGTCTTCCTGTCTCATGTCAACGGGCTTGCACAACCTGTGTCTGTGCAACTGGAAGCACTGCAGCTTTAGAATCCGGAAAATAAGTACATACAAGGCTGTGTTAGAACCCCTGCCATGTGCACAATCAACCTTGGATTTCCACCTGGGCAATACAGACTCCAGCTAGAGACCCTAATCTCCTGTGCCCTTCTACCCTCCTTTCACCATTTCCCCATTCTTTACTTTGGGCGAAAGGGAGTAACTTTGTTTGATGAATTAGAAATTTTCCTTACGATTTATAGTGCAGCTGTCTCATTGCTGGTAATCTGCACCTCCTTGGGAGGCTGCAAGGAGGGAAATCCTTAATGACTAAAATCCTTAATGTAAAATGGTGCAGCAACTTTGGAAAATAGTTTGGCAGTTCTTCAAATTGTTAAGCAAAGCATTATCATACATTCCAGCAATTCCATTCCTAGATATTTACTCAAGAAAAATGAAAACACATATTCACATAAACTTGTACATGAATGTTCATAGTAGCGTTATTCATGATAACCAAAAAGTGGATCAGTCAACTGGTGAACTATATATTAAGTAAGATACAGTATATCCATACATGGAATGTTATTTGGCAATAAAAATACTTATTCATACACGCTACAACATAGATGAACCCTTGGAAACATTATGCTAAATGAAAGAAGCCAGTCATAAAAGGTCACATAGTGTATAATTCTTTTTTTTAAAGATTCTATTTATTTATTTTTAGACAGAGGGGAAGGGAGGGAGAAAGAGAGGGAGAGAAACACCATTTGGTTGCCTCTTGCATGCACCCTGACCAGGACCAAATCTGCAACCCAGGCATGTGCCCTGACCTGGAATGGAACCTGTGGCCTTTTCCTTTGCGGGAAGACACCCAACCAACTAAGCCACACCAGCCAGGGCCAGTACGATTCTTTTTAAATGAAATCTCCAGAGTAGGCAAATATAGAATCAGAAAGAGGATTTGTGGTTGCCTAGAGTTTGGAGGAATGATAGACTAGGAGGTGATGACAAATCGGATGTGAGGCTTCTTTGGAGGGTAATGAGAGTATTCTAAAATTGATTGTGACGATGGTTGTACAGCTCTGTGAAATGCTTAAATTACTGAATTGTATGCTTTAAGTAGGTGAATTGTATGGTATGTGAATTACATTTTAATATAGCTGTTAAAAAAGAATGAGTTCTAATATTAAAAATGTGTATAAAGAAAGCAAGCTTTTCTTTTATCACCTTCTATTTTTAACCTCTAATTTTGTTTGCATTGTCTTGTGCCTATATAAATTCTTTTAGGTAGTTAAGGGAGGGGTAAAATTTTTCTTGAGTTTCCTGGTTCTTGGCCATCATCAGCTAGCCAAAATAGTCCCCATACCAAAGTGGCACATTTTGGGGAGGTTCATTCGGAACTCCTTCAGAAATTTTATAAAAGTGAAAAAAATCTCTTAGGGTAATATTACTCCTTCAGAGCTTAAAGCATAAATATAGGTATGTAAATTTATCAGCTAACTAACCAGCCATTAAACAATATTACATGTTACTATTTCTCATCTTACAGCTGGGCAAACTAAATGTTTGTCTTAGATTACTCAGAGATTTAAATGGCTCAAGGTTTGCTCCAGGCTTGGCTTCCTATATTGAGTATAGGGCAAATTAGAAAATTCAGGCTCAGTGATATGACTCATGGGTAATCCCAGAGCTAGTAAATTGAACACACAGAATTAAATCCATCTCTCCAGGTACAAATTGTCTCCCACAGATAAACTTACGGGACAAAACTACTTTTTTACAAAAGATTTTTAGAAAAATTTTTCTGCATCATGTGGTCCCAGAAACCCCTATCTCTGAATCTCCTAAAGACTTACTAAAAATTCGGTGAGCTACCTTAAATTTGTGGTCAGAGGGAGTGCTGACTTGGAGTTGTAACAGTGGAAAATTGTAACAGTGGGAAATTGTAACCCACCCCACCATTCTTTTGATGTTGTTTCTGTAAGTGCTGACTCTGACCAATATGCAGCTTGTACATAAACAGCATGTTATGCCCTGGCTGGTTGGCTCAGTGGATTGAATGCCCGCCTACAAACCAAAGGGTCACTCATTCGATTCCTGAACTGTGGGCCAAGTCCCCGGCTGGGGGCGTTCAAGAGGCAACCACACATTGATGTTTCTCTCCCTCTCTTTCTCCCTCCCTTACTCTCTCTAATAATAAAACGAAGAAACAGACAACCCAGTTCCAGGAGGTTTGCTGACCTTTCAACCCTGGAACCAGGGACATAAAGTCAGGGTCACATGGACTAAACCAGGATGATGCACACCAGACTTACTGGAATGGACTGTGCTAGTTTGCAAGTAGGGAACTTTCCAGCCTCCTTCCTTGATCTTTGTTCTGTTCCCCTCTTCCTCCTTATAAAAACTTACACCTGCACTATGTGGAGATGGTCTTTGCCCCATCTTTCAGTGGCCTGCCTGAAAATAAACCACTGTCTTTTATGTCAGCTTCTCTGGAGTATTGGCTTTAGTGGCAGGTAGCCAGATGTGTGTTTCAGTTACATAGTTTCAGTCAGTTGTAAACAGTGTCGTTCACTAAGGCAGAGCTGATCCAGCTTAAGTATTATTTTCCTCCTCCTAACTTAAAATCAGTTTCACTTTCCAATTCCTCTGCCCTTTCCTAATGACTCAGAAATGTGACGGAAGAATCCTCTGATGCATGATCCCCACGCTCACTTTCCCCTTTAAATAGCTCCCTGAGCATTTATCTGGTGCAGATGAGGAAGATTTCTGAGGAGCAGACAGACCAGCGTGGACCTGCAGAGCAGCAGATTGCAGTCATGAGGTCAGTGATAAGAATGAAGAAACATTATTGATCTTGAACGCAAATAGTCAGCTGAATTTCTCAAGGTCAGACAAGTTCCTGAGTTGTGCTGTTATTTATGGACTAAATGTGCCTTTATCAGAGTTGGCACTTTTTATTTCTGGGGCTTTTTCTGGTCTATGCACTCAGCTCCCTAATTCTAGAATTATTCCCTGGAACAGCTGGTGGAGCTGGGAGCGGGGAGCCAGGATGAGAGGGAGGGCTTGGCAGGAGCAGTTAGATCCACTCGGGAACGAAGTTTGCTGATTCAGGGTTGCAACTAAGGGAAGTACTCTGTATGGGGTTTTGCTGTTTTTCTTTGAAGGACTAAAAAAGGTGTCCTTCTTGTCATTTTAAAAAGGAAGCTTTTCTTTTCAGCAGACATTATTAAAGATGGAATCCAAGTCACATTGAGAGGAATTGTGCTCTGAAAGTTTTGGGTCACTTCACGGTGGGAAGTAGAAGAAACAATTTTTACAGACGGGCATTCTTCCCCCCAATTTCTTATATGAAAACAAACTGAAAGCTTATAGTTGATTTTTATTGCTCCAATGAGAGCTGGTAAGCAACAGGAAACAATGATGTCATTTCAAAACCTAATGACCTAATCTCTTTTCTAATACTGATTTAAGTTCTAGTGATGGGAAACAGAGAAATGTTTGTCAGGGGGTGGTGGCGGGGGGCGTTTGAGTTGACTAGGAAGGCACACAGGGGAAACACTGAAGATGATACACATAGTCTATAAGGAGATGGTGGTAATAGTTACTTGGGTACATAGTGTATATACATTTGTCAAAGTTCATCAAACTGTACACTTGAAATGGGTGCATGTTATTATATGTAAAGTATAACTTTTGTACCCTTGATTTTTAAAAATGCATATAGACCCTCGCTGGTGTGGCTCAGTGGATTGAGTGCCGGCCTGCGAGCCAAATGGTCACCAGTTCGATTCCCAGTCAGGGCACGTGCTTGGTTTGCGGGTCAGGTCCCCAGGGGAGGTCGTGCAAGAGGCAACCACACATTGATGTTTCTCCCCCTCTCTTTCTCCCTCCCTCCCCTACTCTAAAAATAAATAATAAAATAAAATCTTTAAAAATGTTTTTAAAAATGCATATAGATCACCTGAAGTTCTGTCAGCACATAAAGCCTCAGGAGAAACAGAACTGAGAGAAAATAAGCCTTTCCCATCAAACAACCTGTGGAGAGGAAGCATGCTAGTGCCCACGGAAGGAGTGCAGAAAAGAAAACCGGAGGGCTCCCAGATACTCTGCAGGTGCCTGTCAGGGGCCAGGGGGCAGGGCCCGGATGGGTAAGAGTAGTTCACTGCCAAATGCCTGGGATTACCTTTTTTAATGTAATGAGCTCCTGGTCACAAATACTGCTGACTGTACCTGCCTGAGTAAGGTGGACTGGAAAAAATGGCTCTGCTCAGAGCCTTGGGAGCAGGCCTGCTGTTTTGCAATTGTTTTGCAATGACCTGTGCCTGGGTGTGTCCAGAGCCTTCCTGAGAGGAGGAAGTCGAGAGGGGCATTCTGGACTATGCTGCACTAACGCCACATCAATGTGCCCTGTTCCCAGAGGCTGTAGGACCGCCACAGGTTGGACTGCTCCTCCCCAGCAGTGCTAAAAATTGTCAAAAGGGGAGCCACATGGGGAAATGCCTAGCACCTGCTGGTTGCCTCATGGGTACCCTCCTCTGCCCCACCCACTGAGGAGCTCTGTTGCCTGCTTCACCCACTTAAGATTGTAACACTAATGTACTGGTGATCACGGTTGTAATGGCTTTTATGTGATCACTAGTCAGTAGTGTACTCTGTTCAACTCTTTATCTCCCATCGTCATCTCAGTGGTTGGTAGTGTCCTCTAAGTGTTTTGTGTGCGTCACCTCACATCATCTTTCCTGTAGCCCTAGGAAGGAAGGACTACTCATTTTTATTAGCCTCACTTTCTAAGTGAGTATAATGGATCTCAGAAGGCAATTTACATACCCAAGAGCTCACACAGAGAGGAGGTGTCAGAGCAGGGTCATTCCCAAGGTGCCGAAATCCAGTGCCAAGCATTTCCTGGCTCTGCGCACAAAGGCCAAAAGGGTGAAGTGTCTTTATGCTTTTAATTATGCTCCCGTTAGAGAGAAGGGGCAGGGACTGGGAGGACTGGGCCCTCGGGGCTCCTGTTTGAGAGTGAGGACGACCACCCTTTGATGGCGACTCACTCCCTAGCGCTACACCTTGGATGAAGGTAACGATGCATCTCCCGTAGCATAGTTTTCTATAATTTGGATGGAAGGGAAAAGGCAATTCATTCTAGGCCTTTTTAAAAGTAAGGAAAGGAGGCTAAATGATGGGACTCAAGAACTATCCCAAAGCTGGTGAAAGAGATACCCCAAACCCAGGTGGCCTGTGGTTGTTTTCCTCTGTACTAGATCGCCTGACTCGCTACATTATCTCCGGCAAGACACTAGGAAACTGCCTTTCAAAACCCATGTAGAACAGTGCTTCTCAAAATGCGGCCCAGGAACTCCCGCTGCCCACATGGAGCTAGCAGGCCCTACCTGTAGACACCGAGAACTGCCATGGAGGGATACTGGCTATGCGCTCAAGAGCCGGACTTCCCCGACGGGGTGTGGGTTACTGATTATATAGGGCGAAATTACAGGACACCATGGGTTAGAGCTTCGGGATTGTACTGGGAGTCGATTGTCAAAGGTGAGGAAAGAGGAACAAATCATGTTTTCAGGTCTGGAGGACAGCTCTGAGATTCTTTCTCGTGCCCCTCTGTCTGGCCTCATGGGAAAGTAGCCAGGGGGTTATTCCACCTTAAGGATCGGGAGCTGAAGCCTAACTTAGATGAAGATGTTCCTTGAGCCTGCCAAAGGTCCAGATCATTAATCAGATATGGGTTCCTGTCTTCTGCTACCTCGGGGGGTTGTCTGGGGAAAAGGCTCACCTCTGAGGGCAATATATACATAAATACACACACACATGATTTCTAGAACTAGGATTTAGAGTTAAATGTAAGCAAAGTCTTAAGGACCCTCCATTTCACTCCTGCAAAAGAGATTCCGGAGTGCACGTAAAATCGCCATTTCCTGGGTCCAGCCCAGCCCCACACTGGGTCAGAATCTCTAGCCAGAGGGCCTAGCATCTGCAAGGCATCTCTAGTGCCTTTTTACAAACTCGCAAACACAATTCCAGAACCTGTGTAGAACAACGTTGCCACCAGTGAGTGAGCTCAGCTCTGGCACCTTCGGTTTCAGTTTCTCCTCACCAGGAACCTTGACAGCTTCGCACTGGTTTCAGTTTCCATTTCCTCTCCGTGAAAGCACAGACCTAAGCCCTAGCGCCAGGGGTGGAGTCCTCTTCAGCGCTTCCTTGCAGCCCACAAGCAGAACATAAAATCAGCTTTTCAGAATTACAGAGAAGCAGCCATCATGAAGGAAATATGCCTTGCTTCTCTGATAGGAAGTGGAGCATTTCTCACAAATCTTGTTCTGTCGTGCAGCTTCCAGAATTATCCTGATCCAGTGTTTGCTTATGGATGAAAGGTGCATTTAGCTTAGCCTGATCATGAATCTCTCTTACCAGTTCATGCGTTTTTATTTCTGTGGCTCTTTTTGTTTACAGAGGCAGGCAGCCAGTGGATACTGAGGTGGGCGCTCGCGCAGCGCTGGCAGCTAGTAGCAGGGAAGGGACTGGCGCGTGTTGAGAGTGATTAGGGGGAAAACCTGCTCGCGTCCTTTCAGGCAAAATCTGGGCAATGAGGACTGGGGACAGAAGGACAATTCCTGGAGGTCCTGGTCCCTCTTTTCTTTCTTCTATTTTGTAAGACAAAATCGGAGGCTTGGGGGTTGCGTTGTGGTTGGTTGTGGTCACTTGTGCTAATGACTAATTCAGCACTGCAAAACTCCCATCTTTAATGAGGTCCCCTCTACCTTGCAATTTGTCCTTTCAGAATTGAGGAAAATGTCCTCTTACAGACCTGCCAGACCTCCCCGGTGAACAGGGAAGAAAGTGTTGCAGAGTTTCCAATTGTGTTGCAGAGAGCCCCTCTGACAACCAACCCGGAGTGCTCTATTAGAATGCAAATTACTGGGCCCTGCGTTCTGAAATCCTGATCGGAAATAACGCCTAAGGGGAAAAATACATATTTAAAGAGGACCACAGATACTTCTAGGCACTGCTCCCTGCCTTATAGGTGTGTGAATGTCAGTGGGGGAAGCCCAGAGCCGGCGGCAAGTCAGAAGGGAGGGAAGGACCTTGACATAGACTTGACGCTCCAAGGGCTATTTAGGGATGAGAAATCGGTGATGGGAAATCACTTCCAAAAAGTGATGTCTTCTTGGCCCCTGGCTACTCACAGTGTGGTCTGCGTCCAACACCCCAGGGAGGTTGTTATCAAGGCAGCACCCAGACCTGCTGAATTCAGAAGTGCACTTTAACAAGACCCTCAGGTGATTTGGCCCATGGGCACACTGAAGTGTGAGAAGCACTGCTCTGGAAAGTTCCTTGAAGGGATGGGCTCCTTGGATTGTGCCTGTTCTGACCAAATAACCAGGCATGAGTTCTGCCTCTTCCTTCACATGTCAGCTGGTGCATATACCACAGCATCTGTGGTACAAGCTGCCTCAGGGATTTCCCTGGGGACTCCTACCCTTTCTATTTAAATGGGAACTATTTCTGAAAATTTCAAGACTAATCTAGTAATAGCTTTGACTAGGCCCTGGGAGGAGATGAGGCTGAGGTCTGTGTGCAGCATCAAAAGGCTGTCTTTCCCCATCCAGGTAGGTGAGCAGGAGAAGGAGCAAATACTCTCAGTGGCTTGATTCTGGGCATTTCCTAAGAAGTCGGAGTGCTGCTTTTATCTGCTTCTGGTTAGCAAAACCTCAAGGCTGCAGCTTGAGGCCATGAGAAACCTCCTCCGGGACCAGAGGGACTTCCATCCCCCCACAATGTTTTCTACTAGATACACAGTCTTCAGATAGG